ATGAGTTAAATTAGTTGTTATTCCTGTTTTGTTGTAGTGCTGCAGTTGAGCAAACGGCAAAAACTGCTCAGTAAAGAGATGTTATTTTCAATAAGGCCTAAAGGATAATTATTTTCCAGGAATATATTTGACAGCCGTTCCAACTCTTTAGTCAAACGTTTGCTATTCTCTAATTTCATACTTCTAAGAATCATTGACTTCAAAATACCAACGTTAGTCTTGTAATTATGGTTGGAAAGAAAAGTAAGCAAAGAGCCAACATATGTTGACTTCCTATAAACATCTCTTCGAAAACTTTTTTCTTCTCTAATGATGAGAACGTCGAGAAAAGGTAAGGACTTATTCTCTTCCATTTCCATCGTGAACTTAATATTCCTTTCATCCGTGCTCATCTGGTGAGATCGACAAACGAATTTCTTCTTCATGTACTTTCATTCGAAATGAAGGTCCCGCTTTTAGCTTAGTTACCCGAGGCATGTTTGTCTCTTTAACTCGCCAAGATTGACTATGCCCATATTCTAACCCGGCAAGAGGCTGGCCCGATTGCCTCGGCGTGTACGGGAGAGATGGCGTCGGGCGTCTGCCGGCAAATCGATCAGGCCCTGTCATTCAGTTCTACTGTTGGTGTGCGTCCCTAGTGGCGGCACATCGCGAGTGTCAGTGTTGATGGAAGTGGCGGAGAAAGGGACTAGCTGGAGGATTCGAGGAGCCCCTTGGGGGTGGGACAACGTGCCTGAAGAGGGCCCAGCATGGGATTTGCGGACTGTTGCCACAGCGACACGAGTCCTTCCTCGAATGAATGAGGTCTGGCCTGGCAGATGAGCTTTTCGGGGTGACAGATTTTCGGCTTTTTTGGCTCAGCATTAACTTTTAGTCGCCATGTCGTACTTCGAGCTGACTGTCGGCTGGGGACAGCTCGAAACTTCGAGGCGAAAGGGCGCATTGGCGGTAGACGGATTGCGCCCCAGACCGGAGGAATGACGACCCGGGACTCGGGCCGGTGTGTGATGAGGCGGGCTCGCGGGCTCGCAGACTCGTCAGCTCACGAGCTCGCCCAATTGTTTGCACTTCCACTCGAGCGGCCGATCGAGCCAACCAATCAGGCGACCGCCTCTGCGAGCAGAGCAAGGCAGGAGAGGCCAGAACGGGGCAGAAAAGGGCAGGGCTGGGCAGGGCAGGGCAGGCAGCATCGATCGATCACGTCGTATCACTGGCTCGCCGACCTCATTTTACTGCTGTCGGCCCCGCCAGATGGCCGCCAGCCTGGCTAGCCGGGCGGCTGGCGAGTGGATGACAGACCGACTGGATCGATCGATTCTCCCAGTTCAAATGCCCTTTCGTTCACGTTTGCCTGCAGACTCTAGACTGGCCCAGTAGCCTTGTCTTCTATCTGCCTTCGGGGCTGTCTGTGAGTCTGGTCTAATGCGCACGCATTCAGCCAGCTTGCCCACATACACTGTCCTGACGCCGGCTCGCTATTGGCTCTGCCCGACCAGTGTCAGTGTCTGCTGGCATGGGCGTCCTTGACGGACGGACCAATCGGCGTGGTGCTTAGGCTTTCGTTCAGGCGGCCACGTCGGCCAAGCTAGACCATGCCGGACCGGGCCGAGCCAGGCTAAGCCGGTGTGGGTTAGGCCGGGCCGGCTCGGACTGGGCGATCGACAAAGGCGAAACCTCGCCTCCAGCCTCCTTGTCGTAGACGTCTAGCCCGGGGACAGACCGAGCGAGCTGTTTGGGACGGCGGACAACGGACCACGGACGCCCTAAGACGGTACCGATACGGCGAAACGAGACGAAACGAGACGATACGGGAAGGGAGAGGCGGGGCGAGGCGAGGCGAGGCGAGGCGAGGCAGAGACAGCAGCAGCAGCGGCAGCGGCAGCAGCAGCAGCAGCAGCAGCCAATTGGCGAGGGCGAAGCAAGTCCTGCGTAGTCAATCGGCCTGCAGTCGAGCCTGCATCAAGGATTGCGACCTGTGCTCTCGCCGACGTCCTTGCCCCGCTGAGGTGGAGCTCGAGTCCGGAAGCCAAGCGACTGGCCGAAGTGGAACCTAAACGTTTGTGCTGTGTTGTGCTGTGCTGAGGGCCTATATGGTGCTTTCGTCAGTCGAGCCTGTGCCATTCGCTTTCATCGGGCGCAAACATGGGCTGCACACTGTCCAAAGAGGAGAGGGACGCGTTGGAGCAGAGCCGGAATATTGACAAGAAGCTCAAGGAGGACGGAATGCAGGCGGCAAAGGATGTTAAACTGCTGCTCCTCGGTACGTCATTCTCAGTCCCCTTGTGCCACTTATCCCTTCGCCATGCGCCCGCGGTAGACTCACGGAGTCGATTCGTGCTGGGATTTCCGCGAACCGCCCAGCCCCGAGACCCGGCCGTTGCCGCACCGTTTGTGGATTATACACTCGCCGCTCGGCGCCGGGCCGGCCGAGTGGCCTCGGAGGCGATAGTTTGGGTTGGGTTGGGTTAGGATCGAGTGAAATCTGGGGTCAGGTTTTTCGAGCCCGTT